TAAGTTTTTTGAAAATTGGGGAATTTCGGAATTGGGGAGCAAGGGGCTTCTGGTATCCTCACTGACACAACCAAACACAACTCAAGCGTTTTTCCACGCCCAATTTCTATGAGGTCATGAATGCACGTGCCGAAGCACGGCTCTCCCACACTTTAAGTGTAACCTTCTGTTATAATACAATGAGCGTTATTTCATATCACAAAGAATATTGAGTATGTTGACATTTAACATTGAAAAATTGACATTGACATTGGAAATCTGGAAAACACAATAGTATCTTGCATAGTCTCTATATGTACTTTACCAATTGAAATCTTCACACACAATGATCTGTTTTCCATCACTCATGTCACATAACCGTGACAAAAAAGCCTGTTAATCGATTTTATGGTCTCAGAAGTATTATTGTTGTGTTATTAGGGATAAAAATTGCGTGGCAAAATTTATGGTGCGAAGATTACGTCATTAGCTAGAATTTGTACTTTATGGAGTTTTTGTAGGCTTATTTGATTACTTGTGATGTCTTCTAAGAAATTTGGAGTTTGATAATAAGGAAAATATTTTATTCTAGTACTAATACCTTGTAATCGTTTTATTATTATACAATTTCAAAATATCGGGTTTACACGATACAACCATCAAATACTCACCGAAACAAACGCCAATCCAAAAGCCAAACTCAAAAACTCATGGACAAAATACGACAAAATTCGCAATGGAAGATAGATCTAAGTGACACCACAGGATATATTTAATTCTAAAAACGTTGGCGTGGACTGCTTAGATTAAAATGATTTATATAAATTTGCAAATTGTTTAGGTATTATTATATCATTTCATACAAAATGTAGGCTAGTGTTTTTGTCTAATAAAGTATGTTGTAAGCCGTTAATATTTGTCCAAGCCCACACTGACCGACTGACATCACCGGCGGCCTTCAGAACACGTACATATTTGATCTCGATGTACGCTAATTTGTTGGGCAAACAATGTTCTTACAATGCATCGTAATATAATCATTCATTGCTCATAATGCATACGACAATGTTCTATTCTTGGCCTTGTATTTGTAAATATTATTGTGCACTCATTTGTTTTACACACACACTTCAAAAAAGGAGTCACTTTTTTATATGATAGGACGGCACCTGTATATTACCTGATGGTAAACAATCGAAGGCGCCCGTTATCACTCGCAACAACATTTGGGTCCAGTAACCTCGCTCACACGGCGAAACACAACGCTGTGGTTGTTTCACGCCGGTTTTCTGTGAGTCCAAGGTGTCACTCCGGTTGAGCCAAACCATTAGTGCCGAAGCATGACTCTGCCACATTTAAAATTCTTGTAAGTCAAAGATAGAATGTTCAAATTAATTTGGTAGTCGCGATTGTTGCCCAGATCCTCGTGTCAATGAATGTTTTGGTATTTCCAAAAGCGTTTGTATAAGTCCCCATGTATTTTAATCGAGGGCAACTAGGTAATGTAGGTAAATTGGTTAAAGGCTTAATCAGACAGTTGAACATTTAGGTCTAGAATTGATAAAGAGGTTGGTATGAACTCCACATTCTATATAATGTCAGGCAGCAAACTTTGTCTCACAATCGAGTAATAAATAAAAAAAAACAAATTTGAATATCGAAATGAGGTCGAACACGGCTAAACGTAACGGTCACAATTCCTTTTCGGCCAGTATCCGTTGAAAGCTATGCAGATTAAAATATCATTAATACGTTTAGCATATCTTCATCCCACGCTGCAAGAAACGGGGCAAACAACTTTCTTGGTGGCAGACACGTTAAGCTAACGAGTTTAATTAATTACTCGGTATCAGCTCCCACAAGGGATATAAAGTATTTCAATTTCAAGTACGTCCAGCTGTTGTTCAGCGTTATTCATCCTCAAAGGCTTTGCAGTGTCATAAAATGTAAAAACGTACTGTTTTTACCAAGAATAGAGCATTGTCGTATGCATTGTGAGCAATGAATAAATATAAAAACGCACTGTATTATATTTATGACGAAACGGCATTTTTGTCGCTAAAGACCAAGTTATTATACTTATATCAAAATATCCTACAATATTGATTGTAAAAACATATCTCGAATATGACAATAACTTATGAATCAAACATCAAAACAATGTCCGCAATTGACAATCAATAAGTTCACCTTTTCGAAATTAATTCAAATATTCAAAATATGAATTACCGTGCCTACACTATGGTCAGGTATTCCACAGATAACTGTAACAATTTGCAAATGAAACAGCCCAGTTATTACTGGCCGATAGATGTGGGCGTAAGGGCCCTTTCACTCCGAACAATGGAAAAGTGGAACGATTTAACTGTATTGTGTTCTAAGCTTTATTACTTATGTATGTAGACTTCAAGCAGATGCACTCTAACTAGAAAATAGAAATGGAAGACTATGTCTGTATATGAATACCTTTGAAAATACCTTCATTATTTTCATACACACGGACCTTTTTGATTAGTAATGTAGGATCTCGTTTCAAATTCATTGCCATTATTTTCAAAATCGAATAATCAGCGTCAACTGACCTGACCTATGGTAAGAAAGTAAGACTAATAAATGTTAAAATTGTATCTTAAACTCAACAATAAAAAGAAATAACAAACTTACAAAAAGAACGAAGTTAACAAACTTACAAAAAAGCCAATAGCACACTATCGAAAGTTGAAAAAGCAATAAACTTCAAAAGGTAGACTGAATGTACGCCATAACATTGCAAGTTCCAAAATCGATATGAAATACTATAATGCTAGGGTTCAGAGACCCCAAACTGCAGATGTAACCAGAGACAAGTCACGAAGCATTGTGCTACAGTTTCCGATTGTACTGACACGCGATACTTTTTAAACATGTTTTTGTCTAGACACGCTATTTTCTCAGACTCTGTTTACGGAGTCAGGAAAATTATTATTAAATAAGACTATAATACTTTTTGTAAATAGATTACAGTTTTTTTTAATACTTACGTAAATATAATGTGAGCAATTTTTTTATTTTATTATGTGTGTTGAAAATGGGAAGAAGGTAACAAAATGTATTTTGTTACAAAATTCATTGACAGAGAATAATTGTCAAAATTCTTCCACAGATAATATATTGTGATTGATAGAAAAGTTTTCCTATTACAGCCTCGACTGTAATAATTAAGACTAACGTGCGTTTTGTTCGTTCGTTGATTGCCTTTGATAGCGTAAACTTGAACAGTTTAAAACGTATCAACATTTATCACTAATGACTTCCATTTATTTCGTGGTCGATTCATTATAAAAGATTGGATCTGCGTGCTTTAGATGATTTAATTAATAGAAACTGAAGTAAAAGTTGTTGGATTAAGTAAAAACTTTGTTGTGTAATGATACATCAATTCACACGCAATGAAATCGTGCACAATCACATGGAAAATTTTAGGTTGCATCTGTTGCGTGCATCAGTCAAATATCCCATTGTTCAATGTCACATGCAAACGCCAAGGGCGAGAAAACCCATTTCAAATCGAAATACCAATACGCTTTTTCGTTGACTATGGCATAAAATCATACCTACATATAAAAAGGCCAAATGCTGGAAATTACATATTTAAAAACTATAAATTCTTATTTTCTACTCTATGATCGATACGAAACTAATTTAACATTGCCTTAAAAAGTTTTCGGATATCATTCCAAGTTTAAATTGAAATACAAAGGAATGAACATGCTAGTTCGTAATTCCAATTGAGGGAATAATTAACAAGGAAAGCTTCTAGCTATGCGGGCGAAGTTTATGCAAGAAGGAATTATCTTATCTTTTGACTTTTCCAAAAGTGGAAGCTTTCGTTAAACAAATGGAGTGAATGAAACGTCTTCGTTAAGATGTAAATGAGTGAAGTCAAATGAATTATTAATCAGTTGTCAAATAATTATTCAGTTGTCAATTAGATGATATTAAAAAGAAGAAATAGGTACTGTCAATGCAGTGGAAACCTCTACTCAGAAATTCATCTTCAGTTAAGCATGCCATTCCTACTTTGATAAAAAAACATTACTTATATATATATAAAAAAAATAACGATGTTCCTAATTTAAAGGTGCCATTTAACCTTGACCTCACGTTAAACATCTCAAGTATGTTATAAACAAGCAATAAAGCCATCAATATGGTAATATTTTACCATCAGTATCATAATTATAGACTGTTTTTCTATACAAATTATTTTTGTGTACAAAATTATACACTAACGTTCCATAGATATTATTAAGTAAAGCAATTAATTCGTTATTATAACGAAAGGAACCTTTATCAAATTGTCTTAATAATTGTTATCTACCTATGATATCTACATCCAATCTAACGACTTAAATGGGAGTAAAATTGATACATAACGGCCATACTTTAATAGCCTTAGCAATCATTATTTACAAAAGTTTTTATAAAAACATCATCAAAACTTTTTCGAACTCCATTTTAAAACTTTCCCCCCGAAAAAATAAAATGGCTGAATGACGGTTTTGACATTTGGAACTGTCATTTCCGTAGCATGTCAACCTTGACGCGTTGCAAATGTAATGTTTACCGTTGCAAGGACGGCCCTATCGTCGTATCGAATGGTTCGTCAAGCGACATCGTGATCGCATGATAGTACCCCATGTGAATATTTTATATGTGATCGATAGCGAGGTTGTAGGTCATACCTACGTGTTATTGAGTTGTTTGTCAACTATATCTAGATAGATCGCTTCAGTGGAAACTTACGAGAATATAATTTGCCTCTTTGGTAAAAAATTCTTCAACTGGGCACCTGTCAATTATATTTTGATTGTTGCTGTAGCTGCAAACGCTGTTAACGCCAAATTGGAATCTTATAACTTTGAAATACCTTTTCCTTAGGACCTAAAACTAACCTTCCTAGGACCAAATCAATCCACTCAACTCTTGATTCTCATTCACACTTTCAAACCAGATGGACTAAATGCCCATTTTTTCTCCAGGCACCAAGAAGATGGAGTACAAGACAAGGCAGTGGCACGAGAAGTGCTTCTGCTGCGTTGTCTGCAAGAACCCCATCGGCACCAGGAGCTTCATCCCTCGTGAGCAGGAGATCTACTGCGCTGGTTGCTACGAGGACAAGTTCGCCACTCGCTGCGTCAAGTGCAACAAGGTAAGCCGTTACCAACCAATTTTTTTTCCATTTAACAGCAAAATTAGGATCGTGTAGAACTGTTTTCTGAGACGCAACTCTTAACAGCAGGCTAGCTTCTCGTATTTTTTATCGGATTTTAAGGAAAAAAATGTTGGAGAATTAAATTATAGTTCCAGAAACTCGAACTTTTTTTGTATTCCATAACAAGAGATGCTAACACCAGTCAGTAACATTTCGGAAAAGATAGAAAATGTGACTTTACACTTTAACAAAGAAATCGGACAGCACTGTGGCAGTAAAAACATTGTCGAAAAAGCGAAAGAGATTTAATCAGAATACAACCAAAAGAAGTTTAATCTTAATAGATGTTCATTATAATCTGACTGACGTATTTTCCCCAACGTGCTTTTACATACAATTATTTCCTTCAACCTAATTATAATTTCCCGATGACTCCCCACTTGTAACCATTTATCTCGTTGAACTAATTTCTTTCAATTATCCACATCTGACCTTCATATAACTGGGGCACTCGGTTATTGGATATGACTGATCATCGGCAATAAATCCCGTATAATCCATGCCCACGTCTCGTACGCCCACAATATTCGTTCAATTGTTTATAGCCACCATGTGATGTCAGTTTATTACGTTTTTATTGTGAACATCAAATGAATCGCCTTCATCTGTTTTTGGTCAGATAATGAGCAGTGACTTAGAAGTTTAGGTCGGTAGAGTATCTTGAACATTGCTGACACACTTTAGGCTTTAATCTTTATCTTATGTTAATGTACTATAACTAAAATGCTATGAAAAACTTTGTCTTTTAGTAAAACCACAATCGAATTCTTACGCTTTAAGTATTTGTGCTAACGTATCTCCTTTTACTTCCAGATCATCACGCAAGGTGGCGTAACCTACAAGAACGAGCCATGGCATCGCGAGTGCTTCACCTGCACCAACTGCAACACCTCCCTGGCAGGACAGCGGTTCACATCGCGTGACGAGAAGCCCTACTGCGCTGAATGCTTCGGAGAACTCTTCGCCAAGAGGTGCACTTCCTGCACCAAGCCCATCACCGGTTAGTATTGGAATTGTACCTACTCATACACCTACTTGATCATCATTATATCCTTTGAAGTGATAAAGTTGTGGATGAAGATGAAAGCTATCAAAATTGTTGTAATTAATAATTAATTGTTTAATTTCTAGGCATTGGCGGCACCCGCTTCATCTCATTCGAGGACCGCCACTGGCACAACGATTGCTTCATCTGCGCCCAGTGCAAGACCTCCCTCGTTGGCAAGGGCTTCATCACTGACGGACCTGACATAATCTGCCCCGAGTGCGCCAAACAGAAGCTCATGTAAATACGACCACATCACGCACAGCTTCCTAACGCTTCCTCTCTACTGGCCAACATAACCAACGTCAACCATCATCGAGTGAATCACCGAGAATCGAGTTCCAAATCGATTTGTATCGATCTAGCTAGTCGATTCTTGTTCAACAAAAATATGTGACTAATATATTTTATGTGCTTTTATATTTATAGCGAAAAAACCATTCTACCGGTTGTCGCTAACGCCAGGGACTGGGTCGCGTCTGATAGGAAGGATACATCGAGCAATGTGCTATTCGACCTCATTGACAACATAAACTTTCACAAGGTCAATGTCAACCCTTAGAACGTTACTTAGAAACTTGTTGACGATATTTTTATACAAAAAAAATAACGAAAATCACAAAAAAATGTGAATGCACAAATTGTGTTTAAAGTATTTAATTAAAAGTATTTAATTTCGCTTTTTGAAATCATTTTATTTATATATATTGACTGTGTAGTTCTGACTAATGGAGACCCTGTATCTAAACTATGTAGATATTTATTACGTGCTAATTGCCATATAATTTCGCTTTGGCTGTTGTATTAGTCTTTAGATTTATAATTGTCAATTTACCTAGTGCGATTCACACGATGCCTTAATAACTTATCTAAGTCAATTTCGAGGGTATATAGTTTGTCGTTGTGTGACCACTTTATTTACTGAACTTTGTGATCTAAGTCTTGCCTTTCTTTGTACTTGTAAAAGGACAACCTATTGTGTTCAATGTTTGTAAGTAAAGCGGTCCTACAACTAGTCTGGTGTTGCCAGATATATAATTTCTTTTTATTAATAGACATCCTAATGGGTGGTAATAAGTGCTTGTCATGTAACATAGTATATAAGAAATTTATTGAAAGAGTAATGTACGTGTTATATTTTAAGTATTTATTTATATGGGAGTACGCACTTATTATCTGTGGTGATGCCGATGGTGTTGCCGTGTCACATTGAAAAGAAAAGAATGAGATTTTTAGATGTAGTGTTGCCATATACGCCATCGGTAGGTCGCTACCTAACACTAATGTTAAGTGACATCTAGTTTTACTAATAAAAAAATAATAATATAAAAATATTTTTGTTCTCGAATAAGAATCAATCGCGTTAATTGAATGTTATCGATATTTTTACATGATGGTAAAGAAATACTTTAGCGTGTAGTGTAAGTGAGTAACACCTGAGTTAGATCGCATGCGCGAGCCGACCATGAAATGATTGGGGAACACTTTATAAAGGTTACTTGTTAAGGATTAAATTATTCGAATGTTGAATTATTAATTTATAATAATGTGTACACTTAAAAACAACCGCTTAGCTGTGTGATCTGATCTAATTAAATATTTCTATCTATCTATAGAATGTAAACTATGAAACTGAAATAAACGATTTAAAAGTATTTCATTGTTCGTTGTTTATTTGTGTTATTACCTTTTATTCCAACATAATATACAAAAAATATGATTACTCCGATTCTCCATTCGTCATCAGGCAGAGATGCGAAAGCTATTGGTCCGTCCGGAAAATATATACTTAAGTGGGTATTTAGGTTGAATGTTATTTTTAAACATTTGTAGACAATTAGAAAGAGTAGGAAACAGTTTACTGACTTTTCTGTTACTTTGAGAATGCACAACCCGGGCGAAAATACTTTGGCGCCCACTTAAGGACCTCTAAAGAAGTAAATTTAAGTATATTAGTTCTTTGCTGATCGCAAGACTATCTATCTAGATGTCGCTGGATTTATTATACTAGATATCGCTGAAGTCGCTCCTCGCTAGAATTTGCACTACCACAGGAAAGAGAATCTAACTTCAAGATCCTTGAATTAATCGTGCTGAGCCATCGTCGCTTCTCTCAAAGCTGGCATTTTTGCACAGTTAGGTACTGCTCCGTAATCTAAAGAGCGACAAATGGGTTGTTGTTGCACAAAAAAATATGCCTAACTCGTACGAAGTAGTTCTAGGCTTCCAGCGACTTCGCTCGCGTTACCGTGAAAATGTATGCGCTTATTTATAGGTACCTACTTAACTCCTTTCCTATGAATTGTACCGTTTTTCATTAAATGATGAAATGAAATTTTTTTTTATTTGTATTTGTTAAAGTAGGTAATCACCCATCAATCAATGCATCTTTGCCAGGGCATGGGTAGCTTATTGTTGCTCTTCATGTAGAAATCAGCAGGCCAGGACGTAGCTAACAAATTCTTCAAAGGCTTTTTGTAAGCTGGTAGTTACTGCCTCTAGAATATTGAACTGGTTTACCTACTAAGAAGTTATCCAACTTCAAGAAAAAAGAAAAGAACTTCAGGAAAAGTAGTCTGTCTGCCTGAGTAAGGAGGGTGGCGAAAAATTTATTGTTTGGAAGACTGTTGTGCAGTATCTATGAGGGTTTCGAGAAGGAGTAGCGGAGCTGAAACGTCAACCAAGCTGGTTGAAAACTAGCGAGCTTCACCATCATTGTATTCAGATCTTCACAGTACCTTCTGCAGTTATGCTCGTCGTGTTTGGTAAGAAGTTATGGTGGAGTAGACACCTGCGTTAGACCACCAAAGTTTAGTTGAGGGAGTAAAATCATTAAATGACTTTTCAAGAGGGAGTGAAAGACTCTTACTCAATAAAAATACCTCGTTCCTCCTCCTGCTCCAGGCAGAGGCCACAGTATATAATAATAGCGCTTGCCCCGCTACCTCGGTTCAAAGTTAAGAGCTTTTGGATGTTGAACATGTTGATCGTCCAAGTATCTTGCTGAACTCTTACGATTGTCGAGCATGATCCATTCCTGGTCACAAGTAACAATACGTTCAAAATTTTTCTTTATTTCATTTCACATATGCCTTTTGAGAAGTGCAAAACGCGGCGCTCACTTCGCGCTAGCGATCATTGAATTCGTGAGATACCCATTTTTTACCTTGCCAATTTGATACAATTAAACCAATATTGTTTTGCTGCTAACGTCAAAAGCTGCTGCTAATTCAGCCATAGTAAATTGAATTTCGTCAGCATCCACAACGTCTTTAATTCGTCTTTGACGATCAAAGTTTCGGACCACCACGAAATTAACCATATTTAGGTCAAAATATCCAAAACAGAAGTGGGCAAACCAATTAGAAAATAGGCTGGTGCCTTCGTTTGTAGCATTCGCTCTGCAAACGTTGTTGTTATTACGCACCGCTTATGCTGCCACGACGGACTTTGTGTAAAAATGTTCGGGTGCATAGAAAACAAGACACATTAGGGGAAAGGAAGGCAAAGCGGACCACTTAACAAAAAACAACTATAAAAAAGAAACTATTCGGTTTTATTAAACTTCTTCAAAGTAATATTAATCAACATTCTTTACTCTACATTAGGTACGAATCAGACTTTGATAAAATCAAAGACAATGAGGATATTAGTTGATTTCTAATACCTTCAATATGTCCGTTTTACCTTCATGTGGTAGGCAAAATGGACCACACATGAAGGCAAAACGGACTTCATAAAATTAATCAGTTAGCACATTTTTCTAGTTACAAATGAGAACAGTACAGACACTCAGTGTCATCTTCCTCAGATGAACTATAATTGTTTTTAGTTTTTGACCTTTTTACATCAGATATCTTGCTAGCTTTTCCTTTTTTTGAAATTTTTCGTAAAGTTTTCTTGATTTTCTTTTTTCCTGTCTTACTTTTTGCTTCTCTTTTTGTAGGTTTCATGTCTTTCTGGAAAATAAGTGCTTTCTTGATCTTCTCAGCCTGTTTATTTTGAGAAGCTTCCACTTCAAGGCGGTAGGGTGATGACGTAATAATTGCTGTTTTACCTCGTTTGACTTTCTCGATTGCATTTTTCATGCTGGCTTCATCTCAGGAATTTCGATTGGATTTTCTTTTATAATTATTTAACATCTGTAACCAAATCAAAAAAATAAATGGAAACATTATTTTCTTCTATTTTTATTGCATTTAGCTTTATTAACATTCACATTACTTTATAGAAGGCAAAACGGTCCCAGTGAAGGCAAACTGGTACACCGGTCCGTTCTGCCTGGGTCCGTTTTGCCTTTTTGGTACTTACAAGAAAATCGAATAATTTAAAGGTTATAAATTTGAGAAACAGTTGGCTTACTTTGTTATTCGTTTAATCATATATCAGTTTACATGTGGTTAACATAAGATCACCTTATTACAAATCTAATCAAACTGTAGGCTAATTGAAAAATGCAATTTTTACATCAAAATCTAAAAAAATCAACTTACCTTGCTAAATCGGTGTACGTGCGGCCGGTGGATCTGAGTACACTGACCGAAAGCGGCAACATGGCTTCCAATAATTTGACGTAACAATCAGATAGATGGCGTTACATGTTTCATTATAATCAAGGTGGACCTTTTTGCCCACAGGGTCCGTTTTGCCTTCCTTTCCCCTACTTATTTTTCAAAAGAGGCCTACGAGCTTGTCGTTTTATCAAGCTTGTCGTAAGTGATCAGCGTCGCCCATGGACAGCCGCAACACCAGAAGAGTTACAGTCGCGTTATCGGCCTTGTAAGGAGTGCACGCTTCTGTTAATCCATTGAAGTTCGTAACTATTAAGGAAATGAAAATTAAATTAATTTGAAACTGGAATACTCAGTAATGAATGAAATTGTGATTTGTAATGGCTAGTACGCAAGTATAATTTTGTTGATTATTAGTACCTACCTAATTAGGTATTAGTAGTACCTACACCTAGGGTTGCCACCTTTTTTTGCAATTAATAAAGTACATTGGTTATTATAGGTAAGAAAAAAAGTACATGGGATCAAGATAAAGTACAATTCATTTTTCTTTATTTTTATTGTTCAAGACATATTTTTATTGCTTTTTGCAGTTTGCATTAAATAAGTATCTCTACTAAAACATCTCTTCATCTCGCTGTTCATCACAGACTTCAAAATCCAAAATAAAGTACTTTCGTGTACTTTATTGTTCTCATAAAGTATAGAGTACAATTATATGAAATAAGGTACAATACTTTATTATAAAGTACGGGTGGCAACCCTACCTACACCTATTTATTTGTAGGACAATGTCAAGTATCAAATATAAAAAGAAAACATCATCGTCAGCCTTTAAGCCAAATGTTGAGCAAAAGCCTCTTCCCACATGGAGATTTTAATCACCATGCATGCTCAAGGCAGATTGACGATTTTTCACTCATAATTAGAAATTATAGGTACAGGTTTCCCCACGATGTTTTACCTCGCTGTAAAAATAAATACAACATTATTATCTGTCTTCATCTCATTTTATTCATAAATTCGAAAATTTATTTAATTGTGTGACTAAATACAATCCTTTAATAACTAATTTATTTTGCAATATCACAAATGTATAGCGTTTTTTTCTATACTAAAAATATAAATAGATCAATTTCTTGCTTAATACTAGATTTCTGAGACTTGGAATACTGAGTGCCTTTTTACGATACAGTTCTGAATAGGTATTCCTTCGATTCCCTAAGAGTGAAAAATTGTTTTAATACAAATATTCCAAAATCTCTACACAAAAAACATTATCATTTTTCGCATGTGAACATGTGTGACATGATTTTGAAAAGTAGTTTTTTATAAATATAGGTGTGTTTATTACTAGTCATAGCGGTCATTTTAGCATCTCTCAATTAGTAAATTCACATTAACATAGCCTGGAAGTGTCTATCTTAAATGTTACAGCAAGTTTAGCTTTATATCCACAAAGTAGTGCAGATATGGGTATCAAAACTAGACGTTGTTTGCATTTTGAAAGCATTTTCGGAATTCTTTTCGTTTGTAAAAGAATAAGTTATTTACGTAACTATATTAAAAGTAGATCCTAAAAAAACTATTGTTGTAATAATAATATTTATCATTTTGGTTTAATTCTTAAATTTTTAAAATTTATGTTTTGTTAAAATGACGCTTCTTCTCTATGCCAGTTTGAATTTACCCATAAATACATTTTTTGATATATTTGTAGTCAATATTCAAGCGTCGTCGTTATGCAGTGCGCGTGGCTCATATTTTGAATATCGCATTTTTCCACACATAGCTTTAGTATATGATTAGTAGAAAATCTAGATTTATTTTTAATACAATTTTGAATTTTAGTACAAGTACTAAACATTACATTCACAATGTAAGGTACTTTTTTTGAGTTCTGCCTGACTTACTAAAAAAAAGACAATTTGAAGAATTAAAAAGTTACGAAAATAAAAAAAATGCCATTTGATTTAAATTATTTTAAATGCGCAATCAAAAACAACGCTTATTGCATACAACCAAAAGTCGGTTACATAATAAATAATTTTCCTACATAAACTGTAGATGTTTTAAGCACTCATTAAACACAGAAACAAAACAAACTAAGTACTTGGCTACATTAAAAACGTAAATTAAACTTTAATAAGTACAGTTTAGAACTCAAACTCGTCCTCGTATCAGTCTGTCCCGAAGTATTTTTGTCCGAAATGGTTTGGAGCTACAGGGTGTAGTTCTGAAGTTAGCATTTTCATCTTTGGTACATAGTCGACTACTGCCTGAGCCGCTGCCGGCGTGCAGAACAAATTGGAGAGGATTATTCTTTCTTCTTTCACACCATGCTGGGTTAATACGTTTACTGCCTGGAAAATTTCAAAGATATTCGATTATATTCCAAACCCTAAATTTGTTTCGAAGTCACAGTTAAAGGATTTATTTAATATGGAATACAATTGGGTTGTAAAATGTCAATAACTTCAGAATTCAGTCATAAGATAATGGCATGCAAATATTTAATTTCAAATTCTTTACTTATTTAAGAATGTTGAATGTGGATTTGACTGCCTCGTTCATAGAGCCGTCGAAATTAAGACAACCAAGCAACATGATTTGGGTTGAAACCCAAGTGAGAGAATCATCAAATGACTTCCCACACAGGGGTTGGGCGAGAGACTAATTATATAATATATTAAAAAATATATATATAGTTAAAAATTGCTAATAACAAGCCGCCTGACTGAAAAGCAAAGCACGGGGCCTGGGCCGCAGTTTTAGCGCTTGCTTTATCCGCAACCCTGACCCCCTCGATGCCCACATAGTATTACTGCCTTGGCAGATAGAAAAAGTGGAGGATAGTTTAAAATATATTAAGGTTTAAAATAACTGCTATTCTAGCAACCTCACCTGTTTAACAGTGTTGCCAGTTGACATAATAGGGTACATGAGCAGGACCTGTCTCCGCGCTATGTCTTCAGGAAACTTTGCGTAGACTACATGAGCTTCATGGGTGTCTGTGTCACTCTCTACCAGGATTTTACCGATACGGATTGAACGACAACAGTCTCGGAGGCCCTGGAAATTTAAAAACCAGTAAGTATAAACTTCTGATTTACTGTATTAATCTATTTGTTCATGGATTTTCTATTTTTAGAGACTTATTGTATATGGTGTTAGCTACTGCCGCGCGGTTTCAGCCGCTGCTCGGCTCTTGTAGGTCCTAGGATGATGTTTTATAGCCTATAGATCTCAGGAACACCGTAGCTATCTATCAGTCAAAGAATTTTGGAAATGCGACCAGCAAGCGGTTCTAAAGATTACCACCTACGTAGAAACTTACTTTTACCACTTTATAATATTATTAGCATAGATATTTGCTGATGGACTAGCCATATTTCTTTCCGTATTATTATCATATTTTATTTTATATATGTTGCAAAACCTTAGTACCAAATAGCAATTAGATCCTAGTATTCTAATATTTTTTACTTAAAAAATATATTGCTTTAAACTTAATTATGTCTTCACAGATAATTAAATTCAGACATTTTTATACCAGATTTAAGTGAACAAACAATAAACCTGTTCCATAGCCTCTCCAGACCTGACGATGGACACTCCGCAGTTACCAGCACCATATTTAAGTCCTTTGTACAATGCCCCAGTAGGAGTTATTACCTCACAGTCAGTGAAAGGTAGTTTGTTCAGACTTTCCTCAATGACAAGACGGATCAGGCGGTCTGCATAGAACTTAAAGTCACTACGGGATGTGTTCCTGTAATTTATATTTTTTTTTATTTGGTGACCTGCTGTAGAAGCAATAAATTTATAACCTTATTAAAATGCTAACAATTTGATTATTTTTGTTAAATATAGTTACAATAAAATAAATAAAATTTATTTCCTTCAGATATTGTTATACAAAACCAGTGCAAATTTTGGTTAATTTAAACATGAGTAAACTTCTACATTTTATATTCTATTTTACAATATTTACAATTTTTATATAAATTTCAAAATAAGTGGAATAGAACAGTTTTTAACAAATTATACATGTATAAATTATAAAAAAAAATACATATTATGTATAATTTGATACTTAAAAATGTTACATCAATATTAAAAATGACTTATTTATTGACATATTATGACTAATTTATAGGGAGGACACAACACATTACATTATTTCCTTGTATGCTAATCACTATCTGTCAAAATATTATTGATTGGAGATAAGTCATTGTTATTGTTGATGTAATTTAGAGGTTAGAATTCAGTCAATTCTTTGAAAAATACCATGTTCCTAAGAACATAACTTGTATGGCATGTAACAATTTAATGAATAAACCTAATCAATTTAGTAGGTAATAAATGAATAATGCCAGTACCTATTCGATAAAAAACAAGTTCCTGTTTTAATAAGTTGCTCTAAAAATAGACTAACATACACATCATTCAGAAAAATACGGCTATAATATACATGATACGATATACCTATATTCGTAAAATTTAAGAAAATTATTTTCAAAATTTAGACAATAAGAATTCGATTTCAACTTAATAATATTTATTACAAGCAAAGGAAATAAGTCATAAGGCCTAGAGTAACCTCACTCACTTGTCTCGTAAAATAGTTTGTAGTTCCTTGATGTTATCGTTTAGCGGCAGCAACGTAAGATTGTCACCGAACTGTTCTTTCACGTCAGCTGCATCCCACTGCCTAATTTCATTGTCAATTAATTCCATCTTGAATTAATTTTATAAACAAAGTGTGCAAATTATTGACGTGCACAGTAGTTCTTTCTTTGACAGCAAGCAACTTTGCGTAATTTGACGTTTGTAGTTTGACAGTCAACAAATCAATGAAGTCAGCTGCTAATGTTGCGTTCAGAAAGAGTAGTATTGATATATACATATTTTAAATTATTGCATTTTTTGCTGGTAACATTTTTGTAAAAAAACACCATGACGTTTTTTCCGTACAAAAAATTTCATCAAACTGACAAAGTACTACTTGAAATATGGGAGGGAGAGATATTTTACTGTTACTGTCCTGTACAATCGACAGATATCATACTTACCACAGCCTCACAAGAAATTCTCATGAAATAAGACGTTGTGTGTGTAGGTTACCGATTGGTTAAATCTTTCTCATTCCCCTATCCCCAATTCTCTTCCCGGCCACCAAAAGAATGGGAACGCACTCGCTCCTTTGGTCTTTCGGGTGTCTGAGGGCCCAACACATAAAAAAAGAGTACTTTCGTTTTTTATTTCTTACCTTTCACTCGTTTATTCACATAGGTTCGCATACTCAATAATCTTGACCACTTTAATTAACCCAAAATGATTTTCTTTCACTTTCTCTTTCAACCACAAAATGTTTGTACTACCCAACCGTTTTGTTTCATTTCATTCCCTCGGCCTTTAAAATTAGGTACTTTTCGTATTTTATGAATAAAAAACAAGTATAATGATTACGCATAACTCTTTATTTGCCCAGAAAATACAAATGAATGATTGCAAGAATATTTCCACTTTAGATTACAATGCTCTGTCGCTATATTATAATCTTTAGTTCTGTTCATGTTGTAACCACAAAACTTCGTTCACAAAAATATATTTATTAAAATATTTTATTGAATATGGAACTGTAACCGCTAATTAGTTCTACCGGGAACATGTACAACAACAGTTTTAATTTGTGAACAGTATTGTAAATAGATTTTAACGTTTATAGTGACTATGGTAGAGAAAAGCACTCACACCTTAAAAAAGTTATTTTCGCAACTTTTTTCTACCTTATTGCTGTACATCACTAGTATCTAAGTTACAACACTGTCCGTAAATGCGAAAATATTTTACAATATATTAAATAATAAATGCGTTAGTGATTACAATTTTTATCAACTATTTATATATAACCTGAACCATTTCTCAGAAACGGCTCAGGCTGTGGACAGGGTTACACCATAATCATTTAAAAGGGTACATAACGAAATAAGAGTTTTATGAAATATATTAATAATATTCTGAATACAAAAGTGCTTTAAAGACAAATAATAATAAAAAATTTAATGCATTAATTGCAATTAATACCCTGGCTACGTTTCGTGTAAATTCGTCGACGATATAATAGATTTATTGCTATTGCATTGCTTGTGATGATTCGTTGAAACATCGAACAACACAAAGCGTACCAGGGTCACGTCAAGCGAAATAGCTTTTCTTTTACAATTTCAAATGTTTTCACAATAGTAATCTCCTTCATTGAATTTCTGTAAAAGAAACATGATCATGCAACGAAAATAAATAAAAAAATGGTGATAAAAATATTACAAAATAAACTCTTCGCAATGTACTTTGTTTCGGTGGCGACAATAAAGGCGACATAGTTCCGTATGTTTAGTTCGCACTAATTCCCGAACCCGATTATATCTAAAATCATTCCCCACCTTACGAGTGACTGTTAATACTACAAGTATTCCTAGAACTCACCATCGTTAAGACAAAGCAATAAACTGGACAAAAATAACAGCCTATTTGAAATAGCCTATATTAAAATTGTGACTTCTATATCGGTACTAGACAAAATTGACCTTCGCTAAAACTATGCTAATTTGCACACTGACTCTGTAAGGCCCTTAGGAGGTACCGCGACCGACCGCGCTCGATACTATAATCAGCTTAATTTTTAATCGATCTAGAATTACTAGTCACACAGCGAACGACTAAACAAGTCTTTGACCATCTCAACAACTGTTTCGAAGATAGTCTTGATTCAACAATAAACCGCCACTAACGGGTTAGTAACTAAAAATTAAACTAGCATCTAGTATCAACTATGACCCGACCGATATAAAAAACGCGCGCCCTTTTGCCGCCAACAGGTCAATCAGCGACTGTTACAGGGCGTTATCTATACTAATTTAGTTATAGTGAAGTTAGAACATCGCTATTTAGCGCTCCATCGTTTATCCAAAGCTTTCGTGTACTTTATTTAACGGATAAATCGTCATTAACGTAAACACACATCACAAGGCTGACATCAGAACGTCACCGCGATTGGACATTGAAGAGACGCCTTATATAATAATTTGTATGAGTCCAATATCAGCGCCGCGGACTAAATCTAGTTAAGTCTATAATATTCACAACGACCGCGTTTACGTTAGATAAATGCCGTCGGTTGTAAAACTTTCACGCGATAACGTTAACGCACAAGTTAACGTAAGTGCGTGGAAGTGTCCATTTGAACTTTGTTTCGCCCGTGTGTTCGTGGCGCGTAGTGGGAAGCGCACATTCTTCGCTTGACCTAGCCTACTGTTGTAAGGGCTACACTAAGAGAAGAGTGTGTGTTCGTATAAAAGTATTTTACCTCGCAATGTACACTAAGACGCGCCTATACTGTAATTTAGCCGGAACTGTTCGTTAATATTGCTTATTCCACTAGCGGGTTACATTATTACACTTTGTGCACTTGTTTGACAAGCATATCAAAGTATTACAGCTACGCACCGCACTCGAACGGTCCACCTGAAGCGCAAAACATCGTTTAACATTTACAAAGTGTATAGGTAAAACTATCCCTTTACAAATAAATTATAAAAAAAAATCACTAAGTTTTTTCTTCATTAAGTAATAAATACGACACAATAACAACAAAGTAGAGCTTTTATACAGGTCTTGGTGAAACAATAATTTAGGAAAGTGTACAAAATTTAATTGGACAACAAAACATTCGTACGGATTCCTAAATAAATAGTTCTCAAACATTATTCATTACTGGGAATGTATTATTCCAAACACATTATATGATTTGAATAATAATTAATATAAATCTTAAAATAATTCCGGGTCCCTTGAAACCAATTTTCAATCAATAAATTAATGAAACTCGAATATTTCAAGCTATGTCAAACATAAAATCTTGAACAACATAATCCGAGACCCATCACAAATGAATTTGTCAACCATACTATATGTACTACAATTGTAATTATTAACAATTTATAATATTTACGCAATGGAACATTGTCCATTTTTAATTAACTAGTACATATTACTAAAATTATATTTGCGAATTGCATTAAGCATTATCATGCCCAAACTGCATCGAAATTGCATCAATGTTTCAAACATTTAAACCAAACTAATAAAATTTAAATGAGCTCACAAAAAACTAAATGTACTGAAACTAGAAAAATCGGTAAAATTTTAGAAAAAATACAACATAATAAAACGGCCTGTGTCATATCCCGCTACGACTAAAATTTATTTACAACATTCAAGTCAGTATTGTACAAACGACTCTAAAACTGAGTACTTACGGTATAATATTATTTAATGGACATTCTGTCAATTCGATGCAGCCTTTACCAAATAGCACGTATCCTAAATCATCGGTACACGGAGCCTATATAAAAGCGAGTTTTGACACAACGAGAGTCGCCATCTTAATGGACTACTGACGCCACGACTGTTCGAACCAAACCGAAGATCACTAATTCGCTTTTGTACTACAATTTAATAATGCAATTAGTTAACGTTGAAACATTTTGAAGAGAATGAGTATTTATTTAAGTTACAACTATTTTGTACATAGCCTGCATTAGGCTGTTCGCTTAACTATGAGCTCCCGATACTCACGCTTAAAATATTAATTTTTAAAAGAGTTTTATTTGAAAATCTGGCATCAAGGTTTTCAAATATAACTCATTAGTTAAACCTACGTTACTCGTGTGAGGTTTGATTCGGTCAGTCGCCAGATACAGCCAGTTATAACAAGAGCCATGCCTCGGCCGGAAGCAAACAGTCGATCTAGCGTGGAATGTAACACGAGGCGACCTCTCTAGCGTCGGCTGGCCACGACTGCACACCACTGCCGGTACAACTACGGATTACGCAAGTGTTAAGTAGGATTTGATGACAACTAAGTAGATGCGAGGATATCGGACACTGGATGAAGGTAGTGGCAACGTTTTGGCCTCCCGTTTGGCAGAACGGGAGAGCATAGGTGTCCGGTAGTCGCGCCCAATCGTGACCAACCAAATAACAGCCATAACCTGTACAATAAAACTAGCACATATCACAAGGTGACGCGACTAGTGCGCGACAACGCCGTTCCTTTGTCGCGGGTAACCATTGTTGTAGTTGACTTTCTTGCTGACGGGCACGTCGGGGATGGGCTCGGTCTTGGCCTTCTTGCCAGTTTTGGGGGAGAGGTAGGCTTTGTAGAAGAACTGTGCGAAGAGGACGAAGTACGAGAAGTACATGGCCATGGAGAGCTTGATGTTGATCTGGCTGATGTGGCAGCTGGTGGGGGTGGTGGTGGTGGCCATGTAGTTGTGCGCCCACACGTTGATGGCGCAGCCCACGATCATCTGCGTCAGCTGCAGCACCGTGATGGTCATGGCGAGCATCTTCGGCGGGTACTTGCCCATGCTGACGAGCGCGTAGTACGAGTACATTACACTGGAAACAACAAATGCCAATGTTAATGAAGTTACACAACAAGTTAGGTGTACGTATTTTAACATGGGATTTGTAATTTTCTCCAGTAAATTGAAGCACATATAATTTTTCTGCTGCTGTAATTACTAGAATAATAATAATAATTTAATAGTTCATTGTTTGTTTCTCCGTGAAAATTACTAAATTACTGACGAACGTGGAAGCCATTATTTATAGTTGGAAATTCGTTATAAGACTAACAATATGCATGTACCTACACAAAATATATTTACTGTTGTTATAAAATTATGAACCATGAGAAACTATTTTAAAACTATAGAAAAGAATAACATGATACATATTTATTTGTTCCTAGTACAATCTACCTACAATATTCAATATCAATTTTCATAGAGCACTAACCGGATAAAAGCCATAATCCTAGTTATTTAGTGGCAAAATTGACGACGGACACTGTAAGGTACGTTCATCTAATCATATCGTAAACGGCGTATAAGGTAAATGTAAATTAGCTACGTAAATGATTGCAGTACATTCGTTAGTGGCAGTGTGCGTCGACAATTGCAGGTCAGGCTATGAATAGAGCAATTTGCTTGGATCAAATACCAGCGTTCTGCGAAACGCGTCGCTTCAACGAGCTAACACTTCAAAGGAAGCATTCAATACTTGGGAACATGTTCATTTTACCTTATCTACAGTTTTTGCTAAAGGCAACAATTCGAGATAGGTGCGTGTGAAACAAACATGGTATGAACTTCACATAAGCTACATCATATGTTGTAAGCATGGAATTATTATATGACTGTAGGTAGCCGTAAACATAATAGGTAGTTTTTGGGTTTAGCTAAATTGTGTAGTTTCCTAGGTCAAAAATAAATTAATTCGACCTTTGAATACGATAAAATATTGAAAAATAATTATACTTTTATTCATCGATCGATCGCTATACTAAGTTTTAGATATTTTATAGCTAATTATTAAGAAATAAGTAAGGTATTTGACGCAAAAATACTATGACGTCGTAACTCAGTTTTTCATACAAATTTCATAGTAAAGTATAATTTTTGACATTTGGATAAAAGTATTGAATTTGACTAGTTGGAAACTACCGTATTAAAAGACCACAATTTTTATGTCACTGAGAATTGCAAAAATCCTACTAAAAAATTTTCAAATCCTACATCAATCCTACATAAGCCTATGAAAAAAGAATTCTAAATTACACTAAAATATTGATACACGATGATAACAGTGCATGTTTCTTATCTTGCAATAATTAAATGACTTGAATTTTCCTAAAAATACAATATTTGCGTGAAAGATAGCAGCAACCACGCCTTAAGGTTTACAATGCATTATCGCATTTTGATTTATTACACGAAAATTTAGTTTTAATCTGCGTATTTTTGTTTGGTAAATTCAATCAATCATTTTCGATTCATTAAGCTGGCTGTAACTAATACTTTAATGAAAGGGTTGAGATGAATGTCGGTGAAAAGGCTTCGTCATTCAGTTTTATTGTTAGTGGCAAGTGACGGGCAGGTGGATTTGTTAATGTTCGTCAATGTAATATATATAATAGGAACGGCGCTGTTTTACCAAAATACATAAGCGTGACTACGATTTTGAGGTTTCAAATGCAATCTCCGGTACAAGTATTGGCAATTTCACAGTAATCAACGAAATTTTTTAGGCTATTACAGACTTTTCAAGGAATTCTTTATAATATATCTTTTCTCATCTAATATCATACGTTAACCTTGTAATAAAGAGACAACTTTAGTAGGTATATCAAATATTATCCGAGTTGGTATTAGAGAGAAAGTTCTATTTACTTTGGATATATTTGTTGTAAGGTAATTCGAGTTGGCTTATACCAAACATTATTTCGGTCCTTAAAGAAGGAAAGATTCCGTTTCCTACTCAAGCGTACAAACATATAACACAATAAAATTTAGACAGACTACACTATTTACGTATCGCTATTGTGTAAATTAACTGAACCGCAAGTGGTCCTGTGAATCTAGCCCAACGCGTCAAGGTTTAGTATTAGACCAATTGATAGACTTCCTTTAAGACTAATTCGTCCAATTTAGATGTTATCGGCTCTATAGAAATACAGGCCATCCATATCACTTCGTTTAATACCGATGCTTGTGTGGGACGATGCGAAATTGCAAATGGCGACTGGTAGTACCGTTCACAAGTTTTTTTTATGATATGACATTACGAATACAGAAACTAGAGCTAAAGTTACATCCCAATAATACTATCAAATCATGTTTATTTTAGGTATATCTACGCTTTGGAATGTTACGGTGCTCGTTTCTCGTGCACGAGGTTGCAGTTTTGAAACCTGGTGAGTACCAATAAAACTTTTGATGTAGGTAAGTACTTCGAAGTTTACCACTGACATTCGGTGAAGGAAAACATGAGAAATTCTGGACTTATAATTTCTAAGTTTCAAAATGCCAATACATCTTGGAGAATCGTTGGTGATTAATGCTCAATCTTTCTCTGGTATTTTGTTTTATTTGTTTTCTTTTTTATAGTATCTTGTTTTTAACTAGAAACACGTACAAAACGAATGTTAGGTACAGGTTACTTCAGAGCCGAGAAGTTTGAACAGACTTCAATCAATTTAGATGGCTATAGAACCGATATAAAGCCATAGATGTCAATTCCTAGCTATTACGGTCACTTTATACAATGAAGCCGGTGTTTGGGCACGCCCTAACGTTCATTACTCAATTGGGTAAACAAAAGGTCCATCAAAGAAGTAATTAATCATCGACTAGTATAGATTTACAATATGTTTGACGTTTATTTAATTGATTGGTTTGTAACACGAGACGTAGAAAATTACGTAATTAGGTTCGGTCTTTGTAATGACAATTATTTGAAACTGTTCTAAACTATTGTCTGCTACAATAGATCCTATTTTAGGCAGTCTCAAATAGTAGAAAAACAAGAGTTGTACGACTTGTACGATTTACAAAGATATACGGAGCGATGACATCAGACTTTTAACCATTTTATCTATCTGCATAAAATCTGTTCAGTACTTTCTGACTTGATTGCGAATAGACAGACCGACGCTTCCGCAGCTTTTTTTTGTCTATTATCCATCCTACATGATACATAGCGGTGTGTATTACAATCGCATAACAAAAACTACTTAGAAGAAAAAAATGAAGTTCACTTACCTATGGACGCAGTAGTTCATGACAACGAACCAACGTGCCGAGGACGTGTACTCCGTGAAGGAGTACCAGGTGTACAGCAGGACGGTGATGTGATGGTACCAGTGCAGGAAGATGAGGGGCTTCTTACGTAGAACTATGAATACGGTGTCGCCTAACTCCGGCAACTTCGATAACACGAACATCCATGTCCAGAAGCCGGACACTTTGTCTTGTTCGATGAAACTGGAAATAGAAATTAATTTCTTAAATTGTTATATAGGTACTTGGGGCACTTACGTATACTCATAAGTATTGCTACAAAGTATAAAACAAAGTCGCTTTCTCAGTCCCTATATCCCTATGTATGTATTCTTAAATCTTTAAAACTATGCAACGGATTTTAAAGTGTTTGTTTTTAATAGACAGATTGATTGAAAAAGTTTATATGTATATGTGTATCTTAAATAATGTATACATTTGTACCAGCATTGCATCCAGGTCGTTAGTTATTAAATCATTTAAAACATAAAATGTCTTAAAATAATTTGCATGTACATAGTTTCAACATATCCAACATTCACATTAATATTACCTAATTCATGCTAATGAAATCGATAGACACCAAAAACTAATCAAATGCCAAATTAATAATTCACTTTAAATGTATGGACTTCATTTTAATATAGATATAATATTACTATGACATTTAAAAATATATATTGTAGGAAGTCTAGGCGGTAGAAATAAATCAGACATATAAAAAAAAGAAACAATGAGAGTCTGACGTAGAAAAAATCGCCAGATCATTCATCACGCCCAGGCACGATTTTAGAGCAATCGGAACTGGATTCAAAGACTTCAGATATTTAATAGCAAGAAGTGACGAAGCATTTCTGTCGCTTATGTCCCATAAAACTACAGAACGCCATCTACTATGATAAAAAAGATCTAAGTCAAAGTATTCAATGCATCCATATCTAAGGCACTTTTGAAAAGAGAACCGTCCGTTAGTCAGCTTATTATTGGCCTTTTTTGTGGAGGCAAAATCATCAAATGACTTCTCTAATACAGGGTATGGCGAGAGGGAGTGTCAGTGTTACTGACTTGAAACACCCCCGTTCCTCTCCTGTTTCAGGCCAAAGCCGCGGTACCTTGTTGCGCTTGACCCTCGACCCCGGCTAAGCTTATGATGTGCCTAGGCGCTTAAAATATAGATTCGGATATATAATCCTGATATTCACATACTTCTTTAGTTTTCAACACATTCATACGTCAAGTAAAACAAGCACACACTCTTTAAAGAGGTCAGTATCTGTCCTAGAACAGGCATCACCATTGTTAGCTCCTAACTAGATTACCTAATAGACGATGTCTAATCAAATCGATCATGTTTCAATTATTCGATTACTAGTACAAATGTAATTTGTATATTAGTTCATTAGGTGGTTAACATGGTGTACAGTTAGCGATGTTTTTACATGGCTTATAACAAAACATCGCGTGTGCATTGGGTATAATTTGACACGCGACGGCTGGGAAAAGAATCGTTTAGTCTGGTCTGGGTGGGGTAATTTGTGTCAGTTATGTTAAAGAATAATTAGCAGTGATCATATAACTGAATAATATAAATAATTTAGTATCTTGTGTTCTAGTTAAGTACGGGAGTTTTTTGGGGTTTTAGGGACCACCAAATTTACATGTGCATTGCCAAATTTTGGGAGAGTTGGATTTGTGATCTTTACTCAGACAAGAAAATAACGCCGGTTTTCTGTCATACCGCATTTTTTGTATCGACTTGGAAAATCCTCATGGAGACCCACCGCCCTCGGGAAAGGGCGAAGGGTACTGTCAGACTCTTACTGACTAAAAACCAACCCGGTGTTCCTCCGAAGCATTCGTCGCATCCCCCCGACGGGTTTTGGCCTAACAGATTGTCGCGCGTTTCTGTCATACCATGGTATCACTCCAATTAAGTCATCCCACATGGATAGACAGTACGCATACGTGGCAAAGTATAGTTTTTCAACGAGAAAATTCATAAACATTAAAACATCAAAATAATTGTTACCTCACGAAAGATGTACAAGTTACTGCTAATACTGATAATGATAAAACATACTTTCTTAAAATGTTAACTACAACAAATGGAGGAAAACACTTACAAAATGTATGCAGAGTAGAAAAGTAAATACAATGTCGTTAAAGGATGTTATGTTTATACTATGAGATGACATCATTTTAGGAAATGTTTAGCCTGTCATTATTTTGTAGACTAGTCGTGGTAATGACTCATTTTCATGCTGTGTTCGATAAACAGTATGTAATATATTTACGGATTTAGGATACACAATGTTGTCAATAAAAATATATATTATTGACTTTGCGTTGTTATTTCGAAAAGGGCCATCATTCGAAACTTAATTTGTTCTTCTTTTCTTTGTCCAAGGCTACTTGGGGTCGATACAATTTATCTTTTTAATTTCTTCGCCATAAGACCTTATCCTCCTACAAACATCGAAAACAAGAGACTACCAATAATTATTCTTTTACAAGTTCGAATATTAGGAATTATCTGTAACTACTTCATTGAAACTGAAATATCCGAATAAAAATATAATTACATACAGTTTCCTACATTTAACTTTCATAAACGAGTTTTATGTTACCAAACAGGATTTCGTTTTATGATTTCCTCCAGATACACATATTTTGCACCGAGGCTTAACCTTCACTAACTTCAATGTCTTATATACAAAAAAATATGCAAAAAGTTAGAGAAATATAAAACGTTATAAGTAACAAGACACCAGAGAGATTAGGAGACAATAAAGACGGGCGATTAATATTGAAACTTGAACTTTCAGTAACAACAAACTGGGTACATTTCGCCTTATCATCGAGGGGATAAAATTGGCGAATCAACATGACTTAGCGCTAAGAACCGGCGTTGTCGTACTACGGAAGGTTACTTCCGAAGTTATAGTATAAATGTGTGCTATTCAAGATTCGATTCACTAGAATGAATGGAGTTTAATCGATGTTGAGGGATTCCGCTACCTTGTGTGTGTATAGCTTTGCTGGATTGAATGCAAAGATCGATTGAGGACACTATAGGCAACATGTACACATAAGTTTGGGAGAGCCATGCTTCGGCAGGAATGGGTCGGCTCGACCGGAGTGATACCACAGCCTTACAGAAAACCGGCGTAAAATAAACACAGTGTTATGCTTCGCCGTGTGAGTGTGATCTCCAAATCCCTAATCCCCAAAAGGTCGGCAACGCACTCGTAACTCCTATGTTGTTGCAGGTGTCCATGGGCAGCGCTGAATGCTTACCATCAGGTAATCCGTCTGCTCGTTTCCCGACATATCACTTTAAAAAAACCCCAATGTTTGAAACATAACGTCTTTTATTAAAGTCACTAATCACCCTTTCTTATAACTCCTGTGCTTATAGCCTGTATGAGTATTGTTATCCTTCAGGTACAGTTTCAAATTCCGAATAATTTCTGTACATTTTTTAAACATCGAAAAAGGCTTATAAACACTTCGTCCACATCACAAATGCGCGATATTTTATATTTTAGTTTATATTAAACTATCGATAACTATTTTCTCAACATTCCAAAGCTGTTAAATTCATACTAAACCTAGAAAACCTCTTATACAATAACTACAGTAAACCTGTCTGAAACTGACGTCATAATTACAACTCAGTTCCATTCATACCTAATTCGAAATAACACTAACAATAACAATATGAAAGCCTACATTGTGGTTCAATGAAATAAACTGTGTATAGAACAACAATAAAATCCTATTGTACTGTTTACAATTGTAAAGCAATCGCTTTAAAATTAAATTTCGTATAATGTTGGAATTTCGTTCAACAGATTACTTGAGTTTGTAAACATTATACTAAGTAGGATTGTGTTACGTAAACGTCGCTTTGTTCTAATTGTGTTGTTTATGTTTACACATATATATATTATTGTAAAAACCTCGGTGAAAGTAAATTAGGAATACGAATATGATAGTAAATTTGTAAATCTGGTGCGAAATTTTGTGAGGATTAATGTTTGATGCTGTATACATAAAAAATACTGAACAGGTTTGGAAATCTGGGTGAAATTTTAGCAAAGAGGTGGTAGTTCAGAGCCTGGAATAGCACTGAGTGCTTTTATTGGTACAGGGGGTGAAGCGTCAGCAGCGCTTCATTTATTGTGGTAAAGACGAAGTACATAAAAAGAACATAACATAAAACGTTTTAGAACATTAGGTAATTTAGATTCTGAACATAGTATGCCTAATAATAACCCTTAACAAACTTGACATAAACAGCCGTTTTATTTAAAGCTCAGGAACTATAAATACTCTTTATAATTTAAGCACTTCGCCCACACACACAACAAGGTTAAATTATTGAAATTAAGACTAACGAAATCGACGCAACCGGAGTAAAGGACATCCCTAAAGATTATATAATAATGCTATACCGTATAAGGGTTGTCTAAAGCCAAACAGAAATAATAGAAAAGAATATGAATGACCTACTTCTCATAAAACAGACGAAAACTAGTAAAAGTTACTCAATAACATCACCAAAAAATAAATATAATTTGATAGGTATTACCATAAACATATGATCATTTTAAACATGCTTAATGACAGAACATCGGCATGGCGACCAAACAAGACCAGTAGGTTAATCATACTGGTATTCTAAGCATAGTCATGGCATTCGACGCAAGCGCATGATTTTCTCAGTGACGTAACAGCAACGGCACACCACTTTCTATTTCCATTGGCCAGTATTTGAGCTATGGACGCTGATGTAATTTTTGCTGTAGAATGTTCGAATAAACACCGCTTTCCGAGTTCTGACACACATTTTTACTACAACCTGTATTTTTTATCTAGACAAATCGCGTCTTCACGTAATCGAAGCAGTACTGGTTGGTTAGGTATTAAGAAATTTGATAACATATTTTTTTGTATGAAGCATAAGAATAGTTGTAATGGCGTCTTTTTGTTATAAAAATTATTATTAACGTAGTTCAAAGACCAGCCTTCATCGTATGAAAAAGAGGAATGAATTATAATTCATTAGGTAAGGAGAGAGGAGAGATGGTATCAACTCATAATTACTTATTCAAAATGAAGAAACATTTCTTAAAAAAAAGTCTTTACCTAGCAATATATAAGAATCCTGGACACCTAAAATATTGAAGGCACACAAAAAT